GGTAAAATTCTGTATTACTTGTAAATCAAATAAATATTTTTTTTTCAGGGATGCAAAAGCAAAGTGTTGTGTAATAATTTTTTAAACTTTTTGGATGTATTAGCTATGTAATGTCTCCATTTAATTCCATCAACTCAGAAATGGAAATTAAAATTTAAAAAAAGGAGGGCCAGCACCTCTCAGGAAGGGCAGTAGGCTTTGGATATGTAAATGGGGCAGTAGGCTTTGGATATGTAAATGACACACTGAGTTTTTATACCAGTTCAGTTATGTAAAAACTACACCAGTATAGATTAAGTCATTAGACTTAATAAATCTATGCCAATTGATGCAAAAAAATTTGATCATATATATGCACTGCTTTAAAAATAAAACTGTAACCAACTTAAAATATTTAGGAGACTTTCTAATAGTGTGTACGGGTTTTATCATTATGCTTTTTGTTAACTGAAATCTTCCACAGCTGTGCAAGTCTCCTAACTTCAACTGAGAGGTAGATGATGAGAAAAATTTAAACTGCAAAACAACAACATGCAAATTATGTTGAAATTACATAGCAATGCTTATGCAAGTTGTGATCAACAAGGTGATAATACATGCAAACGCTTTCAATATATCTGTGTGCATAAATATCAGAAAAGCACCCACCCCCCAAAAAAAAATCCAGAGAGTGTTGTTCAAATTGATGTCATCTCTGAAAATAATTATTTAAAAATTCCCTTTATATTCTCTCTGTGAGTAGAAAAATAGTCATCTATACAGAAACTAACAAAAGTTGCCTAAATTCAATTTTGTTATAGGCAAAATTGACAGTGTCAGTTACAGCATGTTCATCTATAAAAATGATCACTGACTTTGTTGAGCGAAATCTTGACGGCTGCCCCCAAATATAGTTGTACATGGTATCTGTAGCTGATTATGTATCTGAATAATATTTCCCCACTAATACAACCATCCAGACCTGAAAGTAGCAAGTGAAAAATGTTGCTCAGGCATTTGAGGAAAGAGAATGACAAGGAAGCTTTTAGGAAAAGTCACTATATTCCAGGTCCAAATTCTTTGTGTTATGTCAAAATGGAGAATGGGGTGGGAGGTGGGGAACCTTCAAGAGAGAAAAGAGTTTCTTGGGAGGAATAATCACATACATGATGCCAAATGTTTTTTAAACACACTGGATGCTGATATACAAAAAGACCATTAAAACTCATGTACATTTTGAATCATGATGTCAGTGAGACTGCTGCAATTCAGTGCTGCAGTAAGTAAATTTGAACTTCCTCTCATAAGGACAAAGTAATTTTAAAAAAAAAAAAAAAATCTATTTGAAGATAAAATAAGACTTTCCCCAACTCTGTCAAAACAGTTCACAAATCACACTCCTGAAATATAAGGATTGTAGTCTGACTACTTATGCTATAGGGTATCATATTAAAAAAATGCTTTCATAAACTCAGTGGAAATACAGAACTGGCAACAGTTGCATCCACAGTTCAGTGGAGAGAAGAAGGATTTCTGATAGGTTCATGAAAAAGTACTGAGAATTATTGGTGAGAAGTCTCTCTCTGGAGTTAGAAAGGGCAATACACAAGAATCCTCAAGCCACTATAGTTTATGATGCTAAAGAAACATAAAGAGATAAAAGTATACTCTGGATGTGCACTCTGAAACTACTTGAAATTTAAACTTGATGTTAAATAGGAAAAATATTACTGATGTTATCCCCTTTCCTACACAATTTAAAGTTTTGGCATTATTCCTCTTGATTGATCAAGTAAGAGCAAGATGACATTTAGGGTCACTGTGTGGCAGAGAAATGAAAAGGATGAGTATACCTAAGTGAGGTTAATACCAGTTAAAACTTTTCCTGCACTGACTGACAGAGACTACAGACTCCATAGTGCGTAACAGATGCATGTGGTATATCTTGAAGTCTGAGAGTATATTTCTTCATTGTAAGACAGGGCCATCTCTTGGCCCTGACGCGGCAGTGGTCCAGAGTAGGGGCAAGGTGATTAAAAGAAACCAGGAGAATTTATAGAGATGGTATATACCTAGGTCTCACCCTGAAAGCAGAAATGTAATGATGAAACTATTTGCAGTACAAATTACAGTTCAGTGCAGGTAAGAGTGATACTCCGGGATTTGAAGGTGAGTTATCCTCATTTTGCTACCTTGCTGCTCAATATAGAGTTGATTCAAGGCAATTTATTATCATTACTACTTTTAGAAATAAGAGCTACCTATGCAAGGCAATTGTCCTTCTAGGACCTGTTATTTGGAAGACGGTTTTTTAATTCCAGGCAGTTTTTGCATAGACATAATTCCAATTTTCTTCATTCATCTCTGGATCTTAGCTTCTTTAATATTCAGTAATATCAAGAGTATTCTGATGGGTTTTATTTTGTTGCTTGTATTAAGAGGAAAGGTAACAAAAGAGGTATAAGGAAATGTTGCACTTGACTCAGTTCCTACTTTATATTGCTCCACTTGCCCACTGAATCATTTTACCTTATGGGATTTAAAAATGGCACATTGTTGAGTGGTGGAAAAGCAGCTCTTTGATTCCTAGTATTTTTTTAACATAATTTACTGGAGATGAAATAGTAGCTCTGAAGAGGGTTATGTTTATATACATTTTTATTTCCTCTGAGATAGTAACATAATTTGTGTTACTGGTGGTCAGATGTTTGTACGACTCAAGGAACCTTGTTTTTCCCTTACTTCCTATGCCATGTTGATCTTTCTCTGCGATCCTGCATAGAACAGGTAAGTTACCAGCATGTTTTCTGAGAGCCTTTTTTTATATTTTTTCTGACTCCTTTATTTACTCAACAGCAACTTTTAACAGACTTAAGTCAAAAGTCGACACGTCTTCTACCCTGTATTCTTAATGATGTTATTTTTTTTTTGCAAAGAGATAATAAGCACCTAGAATTTTTCCTCAGTCATTTTGGTTCAGCCTCTATATTCATCTCTTTTCAAATAATCTCTGCCTTTCTACTGCTTGCTGTCAAGAGCAGAGTGATGCTCCTGATGACTACTTTTTAGCTAAAATTTCAGTTCATCTTTCACAATCTGGTATTTATAACTGATATTCCTGTATATGTATGAAAGTTGTACTGTATGAAAGCTTAGTGTCTATGAATCTCCTCAAGACTTTCTGGCTCTAGGCATGTAGGACTTCACAGATACTATTCACCCTGTATGCTTGTATAGCCAAAACCAGAGCAATGCTTTTATCTCATGAGTGCTGGCAGGGCTATGTTTCAGGAGTGCAACTTACTTGTTCTCTGAAGCTGGGATCTGGGAGAGAAACTGTAATTTTACTTGGACTAAATCATTCTCCTTTATGGAGCTCACTGCTCAAATTGGAGCATGTAACACACATGTTTTCCCAAAACTCTGAAATAAACATACTTTGTTGCTGATGGACCTATAAAATTACAGGACTTGTGGAAGATGTTTGTGTTTTCTGCATATAATTAGGTAAAAAGTAGGTATTGATTTCTGTACCATGCTGTGCATGGATAGATTCATGATGCTTCTCCTCCAAAACAGGGCTGGGATAATGAAAAAGTTCAGCACTACTGTGGAACTTCATAGTATGGAAGATGATAACCCAGAAAAACAGAAGCAAGTGCTGCCAAAAGTTTTAGAAGAATGAAAATAATAATAATGAACACTAATAATAAGAAATGGCTTTCTAGAAGCACTCCCATATCTGCTAGATTTTGCTGGTTTTGTTTTGTTTTGTTTTTGTTTTTTTTCTTTTCTAATAATGTTTCAAAGTGTGTTTAACACAGCTAGCTGTCTGTCCAATATATTTGCCACTTTCTCAAACTTAAAAAGAGGACTAAACCAAATTCTTTTTCCCAGAACACTGTGTATGTGTATCCTGCATAAACAATGCATAAATGTTTTATGAATCAGACCCTTAATTTTCACAATTTCTGAGACATTTATACGTATCTCTCCAAAATGAATAGCACTTTTCCTCGCCTACAAATATAACAGAAATATTTTCACTTAATACCTCCAGAAGCTTGCACTTTTAGCACTGAAGTGCAATTCTAAATGATTTCTGTTAAGTATAATTGTAGACTTATGCTTCCTTTTGCCTAAAGTAAGGGTAGTATGAATGTCTGTGTAAAATTATAGACACAAGACCAAATATCCTGCACAAAAATGATACGTTAATACAAAGCTCCAGATTGGCACTTGTCAATGTGCCTTGCAGCATTTTTGCTCGAACTGGCATTACAAAATAGAAGTAGCTTTTCACTAAATACATAGGAAAGGGATGTAAGAACAGGTATGAAGTTACCTGCCTGCAAAGACCTGAAATTAGACCTTAACTCTCTTTTCAGTAGATAATCAAACAACTAATGACTTGTCAATAAACCCAAGCATCTACTTTGCAGTCATTGCCATGAAACTGATTCAGGCCACAAAAGCCAAGGGTAAATACCCTTTTAACAGCAGCAGGCTCTTAATCTAGTCCCTTTAGGAAGTCAAATCCAGATCCTTCAGCCATACAAGAATACATAATAAAACAAATAGCCACTTTTATTGGCAATGAAAATCTTGGGTTTAAATCCTTTTATGTATGGGCAGATTTTAGCTTAGTTTGAATTAGTGGGGTCTGAATGTACTTTGTGTTCAAATATATATGTTGAAGTACAGCGTAGTAAGCTATCACAGGAGGAAACAGTTTCTGGAATATATTGTAATTGAGCTGTTTACAGTATTTCAGAGATGGTGCCCATCAAATGTTCATCTTCTAGCCTTAACTTTTACATCTGTATTATAAATGTTCATACAGACATAATGTATCCTTTTAATCTAGTGGGCACACACAAGAGAAAAGTTTCAGTGTGCTTTGCTTAGGTATTCTGTCACTTTTGAAACAAATCTTTGAGTTTATGTTCTTTTTAATATCAGTGGTAAATACAGTTTGGGCAGATTATTTCAACAGACTAGCAACATCCTAAAGATGGAACAGTATCTTCTCAAATAAGAGTAGGAGATATGCATTAGGTGTACTTTTGAAACAAACCTGTTTGTCATTGGAAGGCTTTATAGTTTACTCAACTCTTGATTGTCCAGAGTCATAGTTTTATGGTGTCACCACCTCTGTAATCTCAATTTTGTATCACTGAAATAAAGAAACTATAGACAGTAATTTAACTTAGAGTCTTGCCATAAGGCAAAAATCTGTTCCCGTTCAATATTGTGACTGATCATTATTACCACAAAATCTGGCTTATGTCTTGAAGACATATTTCTAATAGAAGTCATGTTGCCTTCTGAACTGTATTGCAGATTAAATATTGGTTTCTCGTTCTGAAGGATCTTCAAGAGCCTTATCAGCTCTACTGGTAGCATCTTCATTCTCATTGTTTGTTAATGGTTCTGCCTCCTTTGGGTCAGCATTCTTCTGTGCTTTCTGCTTCTCATCTTCTAACTTCTTTTCTTTTGCCAAAAGCCTGTAGTTAATGGTATTGCCAATGAACAACCAAATACTGGCCACAATCACAATCACTCCGCAGACAAAATACATGTACTGGTATTCACCAGTAACATCCACTAACCAACCTGAAACACAAAGACAAGAAGAAAGAATAAGAGTCTTTAGAATGGGATACCCAAGACGATCCAGATCTGTCCCTATGAGAAATATCTATATATTGTTTGGTTCTGATATTGAAGCAGGAAAGCATTTTCATCATGTTCAAGCTGTCCAACATATATAGCAGAACTCTAATGAAACCTGTATTAGTCAAGCTAGCAGTTGTCACTTGACTCACTGACAATGATAAAATATTGAAGAACAAAGTAAAGCTTAATGAATAATGTCAGGTTTTGTTTTTTTTCACTCTTTCATTGCCTTATTATTTTATTCACCTCCTAATTTTGTTTCCTATTGTTTTGGAGTGACTGTCTGACACTCACGGAGGCTGCACAGAGACAATAGGATGAAGAGGTAGGTGCCTTTCTAGGCTGCTGTCACTGTGCATCAACTGGCTGCTTTTCATTTTTACTTTCCTGTGACTGGTGAAAGATAAAAAGGCTTGTCCCATCACCTATAATGCCCAGCTGCTGAGTTTTTAACTATGAAGCCTGTACCTCAAAATTACATCCACACCTCTGAGATTAATTTGGTCATGATAAGGGAAATAAAATGTAACTGTTCTTCCACTTTACGAGCTGTTCTTTCTAAAATTTCCCAACTCCCAAATCAATATATATGCATATCCAAGTATTTAGCTCTGAACTATCCTACACTAACATTGAAATTCACAGGACAACCTGCTCACTTCAACTGAGTATGTATTTAGATGCTTTTACTGGGTTGAAGCCATAATGCCAGCCTATTCACCTCATACACATTTACAGACCATCAAATTATTTTAGTCCTTTATTTCACAAGCCTAGTATTAGGAAAAACTCAAATAGCACTGCAAGTGTATAATTCACCTATTAGTGTAAACAGTACAATTTGCTGCTTTTTATTGATGAGCAGTCTCAAAACTCATTAATATTACTTCAGTATAATATTTTAAAGGATATGAGCCAGTCAAAGCTGGAATTTAGCTCTTCCATGTATTCATCCCTTTTGCTGTCTCTACTGAACAAGATAAATCAATTATTCATACAGTTATAGCACAAACACATGCTTTTCCAAACTCCTCAAAAGCTAATATACTGAAAAATAAATACTTGCATCTGCTATTGCTCCATAAATATTAGATTTAATATCTTTAGATTTAATATTGATTTCAGAAGCTGACTGAAAGGGCTGGACTCCAACGGGCACAGGCTCAGTCCCCCCACTAGGTGGCAGAGAAAGAGTCTGCGTGAGAAGAATATATTTACTTCCACCATTGCCAAAATGAATTTGGACGTTAAAGGACGAGGGTATTATGGAATATTTTGAAGGACTATTAAACATTTACTTGTATAAATATTATTGTACTGAAGTGAGTGGAATTGTTTTGGCATATTTAAAGTTTCACTCAACAATGGTATTTTCATTGAAATACTGACAGCAGTTCTTAAAATACTTTGATATATATAAATGGTTTTAGGCACACATACTCTTGCTGACTTCTGTGGCACTGTTTATGTAGGTATAGTGTATGTTCACAACACTGGTAATCTCACTGTTGTTATATTTTCATATTGTTTGGTTTACACTGCAGCACACACAACATATTTAACCAATACTTTTCACTAAGATTTGAGTATCTCATTCTTTGATTCCTTCTATCATCAGAAATCTTAGGATTATAAAAGTTACTAACAGCATTAGTAAATTCTGACTAAAAAGATACTAAAAAAATGCTTTAGATAAGACTTTTAATATTTTTTTTTGTTGTTGTTCTAGAAGCCCAGAAGTTATGAATATAGTCCAAGCTATACACCTAGGTTCCCTCTAAGTTCCCTTTACACTCAAAAGACAGAAGTTAGCAACATGATCTTTCAGTCAGTTCACACTCTGAATCACCTTATATGTCTGCTGCCTATAGAAATAGGCCAAAGGACTGGCTGTGAGCAGGGCTGTGGTGTGAATTCATGCCAGGGTGCAATGGCACTGAGCTGGAATGCCACCATGTGCACACCCTGATTAGGGTGCTGGGCATGCCCCTGTCCTTTTGGCATCTTTCTGTTGGTTTCTTCTTTCTAAATATTCCATTCCTCTCTGTTTAGACTAACTATAGTGGGTATTCTAAATTTAAGTGAATGCTCCTCTAGCTGCCTCTAAGTTAGAGAAACTATAAGCCTCTCTGTGAGATCTTCACAAAAACTGACCAGTGGATTTTGCCAGTTCAGGAGAGAAAAAAGTTGTGTTGGCACAGAGCAAACTGGAGCTGAATACATGTAAATCAAGGCTGCAAATTTATCAGTATGTGCTGTCAGGAAAAAACATACGTTTATCACCTGGATTTACGGGCCAGTAGAGATATGCTTTTAATCTACCTATTGCACATGCATGCAACGTATGTCTTTAGATTCTCATGTGGATCTACAGCTTTAAAGCCCAAAGATAATTTGCAGTGCACTGCTGCTACAGCACATTCCTAGTCACAGCAAAAACATCAAATAACACTAAGAGCAATATTTATATTAATTTAATGCTAAATTGCAAGATTATGCTGTAATGTCTGAAAAAAATGGAATAAAAGAGATTCTTACCTCCTAGAGGAGGGCCTATGAGCACAGGGCAACATTCCACAATGGTGACAAGTCCAACTGCACTGGAAAATCTGGCAGCCCCAACAAGGTCCATCAATGTCTCAAAAAGAACGCTGCTAACCATTCCAAATGCAAACCCAAAAAATACAGCATATATCACTAAGCCAGTGTAATTGGTTGCCAGAGGGCACAAGATATGACAGACACCATTGTATAAGACAGCAAAACTAAAAAAGTACTGAATCTTTGGCCGGATAAACTTGGAGTTTGCTACAAGTCCCATTGAAGGCCTAGCAAACATGTCTACAAAGGCTAAGATAGATAGCAAAAAAGCAGCAGAATATTCATCAATTCCCTTGTGCTTGGCATACGGAGCCAAGAATACTATTGGAGCAAAGAAACCAATAAACATAATGACATTTCCTGACAAATAGATCAGAAACCCTCTGTGTTTGAAGAGAGACAGATCTAGATATTTATTCATAGTTTGCCAAAAAGACTTCTTGTTGTTTTTGTGCAAGGTAGAATCTCCTGTGCCTTTTTCAACATCTTTTTTCACAGGAGGAACTGTTTTCGGTCCAACAGGTCTCATAAGTGACCCAGCAACACAGCAGTTCAAAAGAAGTCCTCCCAGGATGAGAAAGCTTCCTTTCCAGCCAAACGCATTAAAGAGAAATTGATTGAGAGGTGCCAGCGTGCTCAGAAACACTGGACTTCCAGCCATGGCCAGTCCATTAGCAATGGGACGCTTCTTATAGAAATACTTGCCAATCATGGTCAAGGCAGGCTGTAAGTTGAATGCTAAACCCAGACCTAAACACATAAAAAATAGTATTATTGCCCGTCATGCACTCAAAAAAAAAAAAAAAGAAAAAAAATCACACCTCTTTCAAACTATTTTTAAAATGAACAGCATCTAATCCAACGATTCCCAATGAAGACAGAAACCAGCTAGCATCAGGGAACAAAATACAGCTCCATTGCCATCTACCTGTGTTAATGGCAACTGTGTCACGGTGGCATTCTGCCACGTACCCCTGTGGCACTTTGATAAAAGACAAAACTCCTTGTTGTGTTTCAGCAATGACAGGGGAATCACAGAGGAATGAAGGTATCAGCACCTTCTCTTACCATTTTTATTTTTACTAATCTAAGATGCAATTCTCGCTTGGCTCATTTCATGAAGGTTAATAAATGTCACTTCAGCTACAATGAATGCAGGGTGTATTGAAATGCATAAATCTCCTAGTTTTGTATTTCCAGCCCTATTTAAGATCAAGGCTGTGTACAAAAGTGAAGCTTAAAATGGCTAATTATTTTTAAGGCACATTCAGCTCCACTTCCCAAGGTACAGAAGTCACTACTAAAGGTGGAAGAGTTGTAGAGGACATGCATGGGAGCAGACCACCCATCCACTGGATGGCCCAAGTGGGTAAGATGGAACTCTAGGCCTTCTCTCTGTATTAAGACATCAAGGCAATAATGTCTAAGCAGCTATGCATCTGCTGTATGGCACAGGAAAGAAGTTTTCTTCTCTGATAGGATTATTCCTGGATCCTGACACTATTCTTTCACTGGACTCCAAGTTTAGGATGTAAAAAATAAGAACTCTAAGAAAAAAAATCACTGAACAAAGAATGACTCCTTTAGTCCTAACACAAAGATGAACCAGAATATAGGAACAAGTATTATCTCATTCATTCATTACCTGCCAATATTTCACTTCACCTGCCTTTCTTAATCAGAAGAGGTAGTTTAAAAAAACCAACAACTTTTGATAAGGAGGTTATTTAACTTACTGTCTTTATGATCACTTTAGTTCATTGCCTTAGGTAATATCCAGGCCTTTGACGATACTTGAATTGTTTTATTTGGGGATTGACTCTGGGGGATTTTTAAACAGAAAGCTACTGAACTGAAAGTTCTTATACTTTTCTGTGAGAATATATGTCTGTACAAACCTACAGAAACCTGGTATTAGCTTTTGCATTTTTACAAGATTTCTGTTAGCCTCTGCCACTTTACAGAAACCTGGTATTAGCTTTTGCTATACAAGATTTCTGTTAGCCTCTGCCACTCTGTTTGAAGTCCAACATGATTGAAAGCTAAAAGAATGAATGTAAAATTCTACACAAATGACTGTAATAAGTGCTGTCACGAGCCAATCAATTTTTACACCATAATTACAGTTCAGTGTGGAACAGTACATACATACAGCATTTATTGAATAAAATCATCAGCTGTTCCTGAAATACCCTAAGAAATAATTTAACATCATACCAGCTAATTTAAAGGATTAGACAGTTGAGGTAGTTGAAATGAACTGATCTTGCTCCCGTTTTGTTCTGCATTTGTACAATGCCTTGCACAGTGGTTCTTGATCAGTAATCCTCATTGATAGAACAGTATCACAAATAAAGTAATGTAATGTAATGTAATGTAACATAACATAATGTAATGTAACACAATACAATACAGTACAATATAATGTAATAATACCTTTTAAACAGGATTCTTACCTCCAACAACACCAATACATAGATAAAGTTCCAGGACGCTATTGCAGAAAGAGGAAGCAATCATTCCAAATGAACACAGAATACCTCCTGCTATCATCACTGGCCGACTGCCATACTTATTCACCAAAATGCTGCTTATGGGACCTGTTGGTAGAGAAAAAATATATTAGTGGGTAACAAGTAACTCCATCATACATGTCTTTGTATTTAGGACATCTTGGAATGCTTTCCTCTTCCATCCTGGAAAATGTTTAGTTGTTTCTATACCAATTTGTCTTATAAACACACTGAGATTGCAGGCACGTGAGCCTGGATGTGGATATATCACCACCATGACAATATAAATATTGATTAGTGATGGAGATGGATAAAAATATTAAGGACATCAGACAAGCAAGAGGGATTGTTACAGTTCACAAGCAATCGATACTGAGATCAGTCAATGGAAGTTTTGAAAGTGCAAGGACTGAAGAATTTCAAGTACAACTCCACAGAGCAGGAGGAACCTTCAGGCAAGCAAACTAATAACTGACCTTGGTACTATAGCATGTCCTGGACCCCTACTTAAACCTACCCATAGACTTAAACATATTGTCAAATGAGAATGTAAATCCCTGTCTTCTGACACTCATTTTCCCTTACCTCATCCAGAAAGGAGCGTCAATGGGTAGTAAGATTACTATAGGTTGTCTGGGAAAATCTAAGAGGCATTTTAGCCTGAAGACCTATAAACTTTGAAAATATTGCTACAGGTCTGTTTTTCAGTTTCAACTGCAATTCAGTTTATGGTGTAATTACGTCCCTACTAAACAAACAGCTAGTATGCAATTTAGCATGGCATGCGTTATATGTTTTTTAAATGACCGTGACTAGAATATATGGTGTGCTACATATCAAGATTAGGAGGTTGTCAAAGCTCTTTAGGTAAATCTGCATGCCATCTCACTGCACTATATTTGGCTCAAACCATTGCAAATAGTTTTGAATTTGCAATAACTAAATTTATCCAATTCAAAAATAAATTAAAAAAAGGCATAATAAAAAGAAATACATTTCAGACTCAAGATAAAGCAGACACTTGGCACAAAGTGGAATGCCAAGCTCTGCGTCTGATTTCACTGCAAATCATTCACTGTACTGGTAACAGTTTAAAGTCTCTCTTTTTATAAATATCTAAAAGAATACTTGCCAGAAACTCCATGATGTAAAACACCCGAATCCAACTAAATTGAAAAGTTTATTTTCATAAGTACGGTGTTATTTTAGACTCCACTGTTTGAATTACCTTAAATGTATTGGAGTGTTATTATGGATGTAATGTAAATACTAATTATACTTGCATATCAACAACAGAAGTCTTAAGCATATACCAGATGACCAGTGTTTAGCTTCTTCCTTATGGATATAAAATTCTACAATAGTGTTACCCTGTGCTTTTAATCTTTTTAAATTGCTTGTGAATCCAGAGGCCAATTTGAAAAAAATTTGACTGAAAAGCAGAAATTTGGGTGATATTTATATCTTATGGTTCGTGCACTCATTAAATACCTTGGATTCCATGGAGTTTAGGGAAGCTCCTACAGGCTCCTTGTGGAGGCAGCAATGTCACTGGGCAATACACTCACCTTTTCACCAGTAAAAGCAATGTATCTTCTTGCCCAGCCAGCTGTACTGTTCAAGATAGGTGGGGGCACAGAGGATAAACAGGGTGGCTATCTTTCTGAGAAAGTGAAGGGTGCACAGACTGAAGGCATTAGGGCTCACCTTACAGACACATAAGCACAGGAGATCAGGCTCTAACCATAAGCATAACCATATATTGAAACCACGACTTAAACATCCACAGCTGGATGGCCCACCAAATATACAATAGCCAAGAGATTTATTAAAAGACTTTAAATCACCTATGAAGCACCAAAACATTTCACCAACATCCTATATTATTAGATACCTAACATTTCTTTATTTCTATCTGGGAGCAATCACTCAGCAGAACAGTGACGAGGTGGGCTCTCTCCTCAGCGGCCAGGTGGAGAAATCAGTGAAACATGAAGGACAGACAAATTACACTCCAGACACTTCCCAAATATATCATGCTTACTTCCCCTGTCTTAATAAACTCAGTGCTTTCATAACCATGCTGTAGTATAATTTTAATTTTTTTTTTATATTTTTTTATTTATAGAGCTATGTTTGGACAATAGTAGGTTGGCTCATGTTTGGACTAGAAAGAAGACCCTTTAGAAATATCTAAACAATAAAAATATTTTCTCTGGGTCAAAAAAAAAACCCAAAACAACCAACTTTTAACTGGAACTCTATTTAATTTAAAAAAAATGTTTGAAAATAAATAAAATCTAGGGCAATTTTATGGAAAAAATTACTCATTATCATTGCTAAGACAAATACAACTATTTCATTTCAAAGATATCAAAATAATTTTTATATTTATTTTCCTGTTCTTTTGCCTGTGATGAAAGTTTTTACAAACCAGTAAATGAAAATTTTGTTTAGATTTGTTAACATTTTGACACACACCCCCAATTACAGCTGTTATAAATATTGCCTTGCTATTGTCATACTTAAAATGTTCCCTTGTTGAACCTTAGAAAAAAATATAGGAACGAAGCATCATAGCAGGGAAATATTTAACCATACTATTTAAAGGTTTATTCACTACGTGCAGCATTTTGATTTGTACCCTTATAAATACTTCAGTTACGACATGCATAGATCTGTTAGCAGTCTGTGTCTTTCCTCATTAAACAAAGACGGCGTGAAAGGCCAGGATAGGTGTAACACCAAACGAAAGAGATGAAGTAAATCCACACAGAGCAGACTATCAAGTGTTGGAAAGAAACGAATGGCATTAAAAAAAAGATTGTTGTGCAATATTGTTCTATTGTTAGCATTTTTAATAAAATTATGGACATTAAAGACAGCATTGAGACACTGACAGCACTGACAGAAGTTTTCCAGACATAATCAAGGTCAAAGATGAGCTCTGCTGTAACAGTAAACCTAAAAGGGTATTGACTATAATATTAATACTCTTTAACACTGTTTCATCAAGCCCTCCTTCATTGCTCCTCCTGTAGGACAGAAAAATGAGCCAGACCCTTGCTTGTTTATGGGTTTGGGGAAGAGGTTTGGTTTTAGTGTTTGGCTGGTTGCAGTTTTTGGGGGTTATCCAGAAATGGCAAGTTTCCCTCTCCTTTGAGGGAAATAATTTTGCAAACAGTTCCTCATCAGGAACACGAAAACTGCAACTCTGCAGATCTTAACTGTGGCAGTTAGGCCAGTACCGTAAGCTACACCTTTTCAGATCAAAAACATGCAATGATAGCCTCACCTACAAGATGTGTTAGCTGAGGTCAAATCTGGATGTATTAATTTAGGTAGGCAGCGGATGAGGACATGAGAGGAAAGAAAAAGCTGTCTGGGTCCGAGTTCCTCACTTTCAAATTACCTAAATCTGGAGTGAATTACAAATTTAAAATTCCTTTAAACATAATATTCTTTTTGAATATTGTTTTCCTTAAGTTAAATTTACCCCCATAGCTCCATTTAATTTTAGTTTTTCTTTTAGGATATTCCAGTATTTTGATTTAAGATTTGTGTATGCGGGAAATACTAATTGAACTATAGCCATAAACTAAATTTAAGTTCACTCCCTTAATTATTTGAGCACCTCCAATCTGGTGAGTAAGTTAAACATACTCTTTGTGATATCTGTGTATATACTTCGGTCACAGGTCTTGTGGATGGCCCTGACCATATAACTTGGCATATCTGGGGTCTCATAAAATAACGCATATTCATATCTTAACATATATGAATCTACATAAATTCCATCTATTTGCCTGCCATCATACATTTTATCGCCAAGCACAAATTTTGTTTCACATTTAACAGCTTCTACAATTATATGAGCAATGATCACATGCCAGTATATATCTATATGCCCTGCATATTTTTTCCTTCTAGCAGAAGTAAGATTAAGCTGTTTAAGTACTGCAACACTGCCAAGATCTTGCTATACATTAATGCACACTGATGTGCTAAAGGACTGTTGGATCTCAGAGTCTACTATCCTGAATCCTGAATTAACTACATACCAGATGTTAAGTCAGGAAGCCCACAAGAATATTTACTCTAATCATTCCCTTAGCACCTACAAACCATCAGCCACAAAAGACTATATACTCCCTAAACCAAATTTAAGACCATTATCATAATGTCCTAACAGTCTCCTGGCTGTATTCTTATTTTATATCTTTCTGCTTGAGGCAAATGACCAGACTGTGAGAAGGAATATGAGCAATTGTAACCAGCGGCACTGAAGAATACTTTCAGGAACGGCTGTGCACCAAGACACAAATGTTACAAAAAAAGACAAGAAAAAACAGCAGCTTTTCACATTCTTTATCATAAGCCAAGGGAAAGATGGCAAAAGTAATTTCATCTATGTGAGCAGAGGCTGGCTTATGCATTTGGGAGCTGTTTATAATGTTTTATACAAAGCCTGTAATAATGTGACATCTTCGTTCTGTTTTGCTGATTCAGCAGAACATGCCCTTGCACATCTGTATTGTGCAAAATGTGAGGACAAAGCTGATTTCTCTGGTCTTCAGTGAATACCAAGACATCTTGGAAGAAATATAATGCTTACAAATGAGATTAATTCTTTCTTATAATAACAAAGGTAGCAACAATCCAGATTTTCCTCTCACTTCCAAGTTTAACTTTTCAATCACTATTTAAACCTTCCTTTTTTTGCTAAGCCATACTGTTGTAAATACAAAGCAATAAAAAAGACTGCATAACTGAATAACAGATTTTAAAAAGCAGATGTTTGAAGAAATAATCATTATTTTTACCCTTAAAGATGCTTGTTGTGCTAATATGGTTTAAACACAGCTCAAACATTAAAGGTCTTTTTTTTTAAAGAAATGTACTGCTTGCTATTTTTATGGAAATTAATACAGGGCTCAAACCATGCACTATAAATTTAATATTCTTTCTCAGCTAGTTACCTTCTCAGAGGTCTACACACACTCAAATTCACACATCTATCCATTTATTCACTTTTTTTGGCCCTAAGAAAATATACACTTCAAAAAAATTATCTGACTCTAGAGACA